AACCAACAATCCATCCACACACCGCAGTAATTGAGAGGCTATCTGCCAAAGTGCTGGCATAGGGCATCCCCCGCCTTTATCTGCAGTGCTAACTACTCATTCATCATTAAACTGCAGTAGTGTTAACATATGCTGCAGTCGTGCTAATGTTTGTTTTACAATCACTGCTGATCTACCCTTATACTAGCCAAGAAGGTAAGTGTTAAGTGAATGGAAATAAACTTGAAAACTAGTTCATGTATGGAAACCCAGAACGTCCCTTCAGCAAACCAGAAAATTCCCCCCTAATCTCAAGGATTCCAGATTCAAAAGATTAATCCGTATAAAGCTATAGATGTACAGAAATTCCACTACCTTGATGAAAATGTAGAATTTTTATTTTTTGTCCCATGCCTTCTTCACCCTCTTTAGAAGAACCAATCAACCATGTTAGGCAAGCAGTCAGCCTTGATGATTTTTTCAATCACTCAACAAACCAGCACCTGAAATCTTTCATGGGCTAGTTCTCTGAATATCATCCAGACACAGCGGGGTTAGCAATGGTTCTCCCAGGGGCCAAAGACCAGCCTTTACCTCCCAGAACTCATAGCCCAGCTGATGGTCAATTGGCACCCTAGGTGAAAAAATGAGCTGAGTTGGACAGTTCTATCAATATGAAAATGGCCAGATTCACCTGCCTGAATTTCACCTCTGCCAAAAGTTCGTTAAGAGCACTGGAAACTACCTGATTTATAGGCACTTAATATTACCCACTAACAGGCTGAATTATGAGCAATAATAATAAACAGAAGGAGCACAACAGTAAACCCTTATAGAAGGTATTTAGAAGATATTCAGAGTTTTGTGTTGATTAATCAGTAAAAGGCAAATTAGGAAAAAAAAGACAAAAAAACTATTTTCAGGTATTTAATATATAAATAATTTAATAATAAATATTTATTTCAAGCAATAGATAGCCATTCCTAAATAGTTTTCCCACCTTACACAGGATTTAGCATGAAATAATTTAATAAGTCAAAAGGGGGTAATTTTTGTTGCTTAGATGCTCATTAAACCTTTAAACGCATGTGAAAATGCTCCTGCAACCACTAGGAATTTTATGAAGAGTAAAAAGACAGGATAACATAAAACTCCCTAACCCTTAAGTCTCAGCTAGTCCAGACTTTCAATTAAACGTGCCTTTAGAGGAGATAAATTCTATAGACAAAGCTACTATTATTTATTTTACTTAATAAATGTATGGAGAATGGACATGTTGACTGGGTAAAGGCAGTGCTTTTATTATACTCAGAGGCATCTAACTCTTATTAAATCTTTTAAAACACACCTTACCTGCCTAAGTCCTAAACTCCTACACCAAATCCACCAATTTCTACCTCAAAACTGTTAAAAAAGGAAGTCATAATTTATCAGTCATAACCATTATTAATTGCAAAGATGGCAAGGCCATACCTTTAAAAAATACAATGAATCACTTTTTTTTTTTTACATATCTTTGTTATTCAACTACCATTCTGATCACTCATGGTGCAAGAACATTCAAATAATAAACCAAAAAGAAACAGATGTTAAAGACTGGTTTTCAAACATTATAGCCAATGATGCCACACTTGCCTATAAAACCACATCCACACCTCAGTGGCCACCAAACCATTCAGCAGAGCTTCCTTATCTGTAAGCTGTTTGAAGATAACCAGTTTGAGCACTAGTGACTTTTTTCCCCAAGCTCTGAATAGCTATAGGGATCTCAGCAGGGTTGAAGGAGCCAGCTCAACCACGGTACAGCAGTCCTTGGGTTACGTCGCCATCTCCTATCCTATCCTATATAATAAAGATGTAATATGCAAATGGTCATTACATCAGGACAGACCACATAACGACCAGATCATGGATCAGCAGGAGAGTGGGGCAGGGAGCTACAAGGAGGCAGCAGAGAGCTACAGGAGGGGGCAGGGCAGCAAGCTATGAGGGGGGCGTGGGGGGAGCTACAGGAGGGCGGCAGCGAGCTACTGGCACACAGATTCGTGCGCAGGGCTACTGGTTTATTATAAAAAAAACCAGACAAGTTCCGTCATTTCGACGTATGTACATATGTGCTTTATGTT